TCCATTGAGATTTTCAACAAATGGATGCAAGACTGGAAATGTTCACTCACGTAATGCTAAGGAATTTGTAAGACAGCTACCTGGTCAACTGAAACAAATATTTGTGAAAAAAGTGATCCAACAGAATGTGGGAATTATCAAGCAACGTCATAAACATCACATGCAAATAAAATTTTGCTGAAAATAATTCAAACAAACAGTTGTAGTGGTACATTGACAGGGAACTTCCAGAAAGTCCATCCAGATTCAGAAGAGGATGTGGAATAAAAGCTGTCATTGCTGGTGTCAGAGGGATTTTGGCTGAAGGCAGAGAATACCAGAAAGATGTTTAAGACTAGGTTATCTAGAGAAACAAAACCAGTGCTATATATGTGTATATCTATATGTATACTATATGTATATCTATGGAGAGAGAGAAAATAATTCTCTCAAGGAAATGGCTCATGCAGTTGTAGAATCTGGAAGCTTCTCCTGACTCATGTAGCTGCAGGAGCTGCAGGGAGTGAGGAACCCAAGATTGTCAGGTAAGATAGAAGGTTGTTGAGTCACAGGCTGCCAAGGCAACAATCTCTAGATTGGCAGGAAACGGCCACTGGTTCAATTTCCAAGAACTGGAGGTCAGATGATGATTAGCTCGATGCAGGTTCCAGATCAAGCAACCAGCTGGAGATCTTTTTAGGATGTTGATGTATAATGGAATGGCTATACCCCTGAGGAAACTTCCATTCAGTGGATTAGCTGCTCATAGCAGATTTCATCATGAAGATGGCTACAACATAACATCATAGACCAGCAAAGTTGACACACAACCTTAACTATCACAGGTGTTTATCTGTGTTTTATTTGCTATGCAAAAGCATTTGGTAGTGTGAATTGTAACAAATTGTAGATAACATTGTAAAGAATGAGAATTCCACAACACTTAATTTTGCTCATGAGGAACCTGGATAGAAACCAAGGGATAGTCAATTGAACAAGAGGCTATTACATGGATTAAAATCAGGAAAGGTGCATCAGGGTTGTATCCTTTTACCATTAATCAGTCTGTATGCTGAGCAAATAATGTGAGAGGCTAGACTATATGAAGAAGAATGTGTCATCAGGATTGGAGAAGGACTAACAAACAACATGCGATATGCAGCTGACACAACCTTGCTTGCTGAAGATGACTTGAAGCACTTACTGATGATGATCAAAGACTACAGCCTTCAGTATGGATTACACTTCAACATAAAACAAAACTCCTCACAATTGGACCAAAAAGTAACATCTTGGATATAGAAATTAAGGTTTCACAGAGCAGCAGTCATGAAATCAAATGCCACATTTTATTGGGCATATCTGCTGCAAAAGACCTCTTTGTTAAAGAGCAAACATGTCACTTTGAAGACTAAGACGTGCCTGACCCAAGTCATGGTATTTTCAAACACCTCATACACACAAGAGCTGGACACTGAATAGGGAAGACTGCAGAAGAATTGATGCCTTTTAAATTATGGTGTTGGTGAAGAATACTGACTATACCATGGACTGCCAGAAGAACAAACAAATCTTTCTTGGATGAGGTATAGCCAAAATGTTCCTTAGAAATGAGGATGGCAAGTAGCAAGTAAGACATTGCCTCTTGTACTTTGGTCATGTTGTCAGGAGGGACCAGTCCCTAGAGAAGGACAGCATGTTTGGTAAAGTACAAGGTCAATGAAAAAGAGGAACACCCTCAACAAGAGGACTGACACAATGGCTACAACAGACATTTCAAATATAGCAACGATTGTCAGTATGGTGCAGGACCAGGCACTGTTTTGTTCTGTTGTACACAGGGTCACTATGAGTCAGAGCTGACTCGACTGTACTTACAATAACTATGCCAAGCACTAGAGGAAAGTGTTAGAGAGGAAAGTGTTAGGAATATATCTGGGAATAATAGCAACTCTTGTTGATGTTAGCTGCCATTAAGTCAGCCCCTGACTCATGGCAACCCTATGCTCAGTAGAGTGGGAGCATTGTGATCCACAGGGTTTTTATTAGCTCATTTTCAGATATATATCACCAGGCCTTCTTCCTGGTCTAGATGCTCTACTGAAACCTGTTTACCATCCTAGCAACACTCAACCCTCCATTGACAGGTGGTGGTTGCATGGAGATTCGTTGGGCAGGAGTCAAATCCAGGTCTCCCACATGGAAGGCAAGATTTTTTCATTGGACCACGACAGCCCTTAAAACAACTAATGTGTATTGAGCTCTTTCTACCTATTAGGAACTCTTATTACTGTGTTCATCTCATATAATCCTCAAAAAAAAAAAAAAAAAAAAATCAAACTTGTAATTTGGTGCTTTTATAATCTCTATAGGAGCTCTTGTAGCGTAGTGCCTAAAGGTACTTGACTGCTAACCAGAAGGCTGGCGGTTCAAACCCACCAACCACTCTTTGGATGAAAGATGAGGCAATCTACTTCCTAGTGATACTGCCTCGAAAACCCGAGGAGGGGTTGCTATAAGTCACATCTGACTCGACGGCACATAACAACAATAATCTCTATACAAAGATAAGAAAATGAGGATTGCTTAAATCAAGGATTCAAACCCAGTGTACTTTCCACTTTTTCCAGAGGAAAGAAAGTCTCTGCCCTCATGGAGCTTATAGTTTAGCAAACATTTCTTCATATAGACTCTCTTAACCTCAGGTGGCAGGCATGTGAAGAGCCCTCCAGAGGAGGCTTCCAGTCTCCCACAGGTATTAGGCTGGTTGCACATACTTGATTGATGGAAGTCACTTGGTGCCACAGGCCCTTACTTATTGTTCATATTTGCCTCTCCCCTTTCCTCCTCTGCTCTTCTCATTGCCTGCTCCTAATATCCTTTGTCTTGTCCTTCTCCCCACTTCCCACTTCCCCTGTGAATGCCCCACTCTACTTTGTTTTATTCTTCCTCTCTCTCATCAAGAAAATATTACTAGAGTCCCCAGGAGCATGCAATGTGTTGAAGACATGGAAATGTTTACTGCAAATGCAGTGAGCTGTTGATAGATGGCTCAGTAAGCCTAGGATTCCTTCTTGAACAGTCTCTGGCATTTAAGGGACTCAGTTTCCAAAAGCACATCCACTCTGTTCCACTGGTGCTAATCTCATTTTTGCCATGATTAATAACACACTTCATTATGTTTTCAGCTCACATTAATCTTCTGTTCTGTGAGTTTGGTAACATTTGGAGTCATTTCCCTCTATATTTATCCATCTGGGATCTTTAGAAAAGATAAGTTTGCAAAAAGCCATTTTTTCCTCACTGCTATAAGAGGAGATAATTCTTGCCCTGTTTCTAAGATCTGGGAAGAATACCTGTTGTCACCTACAGATGCCCCACCCCACAATGCAGAGGACTCCTTAGTTGAGTTCCCTAAGGTCCCAAACTTGGAACAAGATCTACAGCACAAAGACTGGGTTGCAGCATAACTGTATGAGAAATGACAAGCAAAGCTGCCCAACTGTCCTCATGGAGCAGATGGGATTGGGAGAAAGCTGTGGGGGTAGTGGAAAGAGTTGTGAGATTAATGAGTCAGAATAAAGGTTTTGGCTTGAGTCCTGTCTCTACCACTTACAAGCTGTTTGACCTTGGACAAGTCACATAATCTGAGATCCTTTTGCCTCCTCTTTAAACTTGTCCCAAAGATGCCTGTTTTCTCTATATCACTGGGTATTTTTGAGGATAGATTTATATTTTCACCTCTGCTCTCAACTAGATTTAATTTTTGCAATTGCTGAGTCCTTTTTCCAATATATATACACACACCAAAAATAATCCATTGTGTCTCCCCCTCATAGTGACCCTCACTGGGTTTCCAAGGTGGTAAATCTTCATGGAAGGAGATTGCCTCATCTTTCTTCTGTAGAGGAGCTGGTGGGTTTGAACGATGAACCTTTTGGTTAGCAGTCCAATGCCTTAGGCACTGTACCACCAGAGCTGTGTGTACACACATGCACACATATAGGAACTCGGGTAGCACAGTGCCTAAGGCACTTGACTGCTAACCAGAAGGGTGGCAGTTCAAACCCACCAGCCACTCCTCGGAAGGAAGGTTGGGCAATCTATTTCCATAGTGATACCACCTCAGAAACCCAAGGCGGGGTCACTATCAGTCAGGTCCAACTCAATGGCAAATAATAATAACAACAAAATCCATGTATATATATACAAAATATACAGATACATATATACTTTTCAATTAGAAAAAAATCAGGAAAATCAGACTAATATTTCTTAATTCTTCTCTTTTATAGAAATAGTACTTGTATTCATATTTTATATTTTATAATCTATGGAGAAGGGGATATGTTGCTTGGAAAACAGTCAGTCCTTGGGAAACTTAGCTGAAGGAATCTTACCAAATAAAATTTCAGGAGGTCAAAAAAGAAGCAACAACTCTTTTGGAGATTCTTGACTGTCAACTTTGACTGTCAACTTCTAGCAACATTTTTCTGTGAAGGTTGGAGTGCATTCATTTCTTAATTTGAGTAAGATAGAGAGGAGTATTGAGCAAATGCTCCTGTCTATGGTCATTGAAATATCAGTATTATTTCTCAGTACAGCCCAAGAACAAAGCCAACGTATATTATATTAATGCATCTGTTTTCACAGGAAGGGGGAAAAGATGTATTTAAACTGGAATACTAGAATTTAGAAGGGGTTCAAGATGTGGAGAGGAGCAGTAGGGATGCGAAATCTGAATTGCTTGCCCTAATGCTGCACAACTAGAAATAAGACTACATAATTCGGAAGTATTTTTATTGACAGTCCTCTCTACTAGCACCTGGGATTTGAGCAGAAGACTCCCATTACTCCAAAAACTCCCAGTGGCATTGATGGAAATTACCTGCCTAAGTAACCCTCCTGCTTACATAGAATGTCACTTACATAGAACGTCAGGCACCTGAAAGCATTTTTAATTGCAATATACTCCCTTTGCAAAAGAGCTAATTGCATCTGCTTCCCTTTTCTTTAGGTACCCAAGAAAGGACAGGAATAATGAAGAGGCACATGTGTTAGTTGCAACTATTTGAACCACAAAGGAAATAAGTCAACGGTGTGGACAGGGCAGGAACCATTGCTACGCTTGTTGGAGTAAATGAGGAATGGGCTTGTGATTATGCTGACATTCCAGCATGAATCTGGTAGACCTGTGGTTAACTCGTTCCCTCTCCATGTGTCTCCTCCTACAAAGTTTTGTCCTTATGATACTGTGCTTTCATTCTGCCAGTATGTGTCCCAAGGGCTGTCTTTGTTCTTCCTCTGGGGGTTTAAATGTCACCTGTAGCAATGCAAATCTCAAGGAAATACCTAGAGATCTTCCTCCTGAAACAGTCTTATTGTATCTGGACTCCAATCAGATCACATCTATCCCCAATGAGATTTTTAAAGACCTCCATCAACTGAGAGTTCTCAACCTGTCCAAAAACGGCATTGAGTTTATCGATGAGCATGCCTTCAAGGGAGTAGCTGAAACCTTGCAGACTCTGGACTTGTCCGACAACCGGATTCAAAGCGTGCACAAAAATGCCTTCAATAACCTGAAGGCCAGGGCCAGAATTGCCAACAACCCCTGGCACTGCGACTGTACTCTACAGCAAGTTCTGAGGAGCATGGCGTCCAATCACGAGACAGCCCACAATGTCATCTGTAAGACTTCCGTGTTAGATGAACATGCTGGGAGGCCATTCCTCAATGCTGCCAATGATGCTGACCTTTGTAACCTCCCTAAAAAAACTACTGATTATGCTATGTTGGTCACCATGTTTGGCTGGTTCACCATGGTGATCTCATATGTGGTATATTATGTAAGGCAAAATCAGGAGGATGCCCGCAGACACCTTGAATACTTGAAATCCCTGCCAAGCAGGCAAAAGAAAGCAGATGAACCTGATGACATTAGCACTGTGGTATAGTATCCAAACTGACTGGCATTGAGAAAGAATGTAGTTTGTGATTGCAGTAGAATAAGTGGTTTACTTCTCTTTACTCACTGTAAACATTTAAAACTTTGTATTTCAGTTCCTTTTGAAATCTTCCACTGTTGAACTTTAATAAACACTACAACATGACAATTCATTTTAGTTTAGGTTATCCACCCCTTTAACTGTACCTCTGGTGGTATATTCCTGAGTAATCTACTATCTGATCATGAGTTAGTTCCATCTACTATTTAATAATGAAATTTATTTTTTTAATTTTAAACCAAATAAAAGCTTAACTTTGAACCATGGAAAACAGAGTGACTTATTGGTTAAGAAAACAGTACAGTCATTCCACTTGCATTAAAAAATTAAGCAGAGATAACCCTTGTGCACCTAGCAAACTACATAATGAAAGATGTTAAGCCCCACTGTACACTGGGGAGCCATAACTGAGTTATTGATCAGTATTTGTCAGACTTTAAAATACTGATCCTTAGAAGTGTGGGAGCCTGAAGAGGTTTCAGTTGGAATGCCATTTGGGATTTGCTATCTAAAATTGGTACCTTTAGTGTAAAAGAACAAATATTCATAGTGTTTCTACTCTATTCCACACACAGTGGAAAATAAAAACCAAGACACGTGTCCTGTCCTCAAAATTGCAGTCTGGTGGAGAGTGATGTGTGAGAAATATAGAAACAGCTATACTAGAAAGGAAGGCCCTAATAATCATATAGCATCAATGTGGGAGCTCTAGTGGCACAGTACCTAAGGCATTTGACTGCTAACCAGAAGGCTGGTGGTTCAAACCCACCAGCTGCTCCTCAGAAGGAAGATGGGGCAATCTACTTCTGTAGAGATACTGCCTTGGAAACCCAAGGATGGGTCCCTGTGAGTCACATCTGACTTGATGGCAGTGAGTTGATTTTTTTTTTTTTGGTTCAATGTACCAAGCATGAAGCATTTTAGACTATTATTGTATCACTAAGCCCACAGTCAGTCGTGGTTCTGTGGTAGAATTCTTGCATTCCATGTGGGAGACCCAAGTTCAATTCCCAGCCAGTGCTCCTCTTGCACGGCCACCACCCATCTGTCAGTGGTGGCTTGCGTATAGCTATGCCACTGAACAGTTTTCAGTGATGCCTCCAAAATAAGATAAACTAGGAACAAAGACCTAGAAATCTCCTTCTGGAAATCAACCAAGGAAAACCCTGTGGATAGAAACTGTCTGATCCACAACTGATCATGGGAATGATGCAGGACTGAGTCACATTTCCTTCCATTGCAGATGCAATTGCCATGACTCTTGGCCAACTAGATGGCAAATAACAACTACAAGTCCTCACAATAATAGGAGGAGACAGTGATATCTGCTCCATTACATAGGAGGAAACTAAATGCAAGAGGTTTAATGACTGGCCAGGTAGAAAGTAGCAGAGCAGGTATTTGAACTGGGTCTTCCTGTCTCCAAAGACGTATTTTGTCATAACATTCCTGCTAAATTGGTTTGTTGTTGTTGTTATTTGCCATATATATATATATATATGAGTCGGGGGCCGACTCGATGGCAAACAACAACAACAACAACATATATATATATATATATATATAAATCATCATCAAAAATAACCTTTTGTGAGGTTTATATAGGAAGAACGGATTCTCTGTCATTTTGAGCATATTAGGGTATCTTAGGGCCTCCAGGAATAACAGTCTTGCCCTTGGAAAGCCCTGAGAACCTACTGATAGCAACAGTCTCTTTACAGGGTTATTGGAGGGTCCAGTGAGAGTGAGCCAATCCAAGACCTTTAACAGGGCATTCAAAGCAACATGGCTAGGCCATGGTGTACACCCAGGACTACAGCCTTCTTATGTCTACCCTAGCTTTACCATAAAGTGTACAACTTAGTTTAGAAGCCTGAAGACTAATATGAAATTAAGTATGTGGGTCCTAGATTTTCTGTGCCCCATCAAGAAGGAATTCAGACTGTCTGCTTTTGCTAACTGGACCCTGAATGCCTTCCAGTGAAACAGAAGCTTTGCTGAAGACTTAACGCCCCCTGGAGGACAACATTTTAATATCTCTCTGTAAGTACTGCCATGGAACAATGCATAAATGAAGTAAATCTGTGTAGTTTTTCTAAAGAATATAAAAATAAGTCCTTGCTAAGATAACCCTTTTCAAAGTTAAATACGTTGTATTTGACTGTATGAGTCACATTCATTTTGGAAAAGTTTTCACAAATCACGTAATCCATTCCAGCTTTCCTCATAAAATAATCTTTATTTCCCTACTAATAAGAGCTTGTTTTCCTAATGACCAAAAAATATATTTGCACGTTAGTCAAGTTGAAGTACTTCTAAAGGCAAAATCTTAAGAAGTATGCTAGATATAGCCGTATCCTTGTTCAGATGTGGAAAAGTTAAATTCCTATATATTATATTTATACTTCTCCTTATATGTACAATCGAAGGCTACATCATATATTGATAATTATACTCCTTCCTAAATTCTACATGAAGATTATCAATTACCAATGCCCTGAGTGCTTTTTTGTTGTTGTTGTTGTTGGAAAAGAACTTTAAATTAGTTAACATAAATCAGACTACATAAGCCACTGGAGGAGCAAAATTAATGATTTCATAACAAATAATAGGCTGTAAGACTTATTCCTAAACAGAACCAAAAGGAAATGCTTTTCCTGCCCAGCTTGTAGGGATGTCCCATCCCACTGGAGCGACAGCATACGATGCCAAGGAGCAGAAAGAACATACTGAGAGCTCACAACTGTACAGAAAGAAGCACACACGCAAACTCCAGTTTTGATCCCAACATGGTGTTTACATTTCCAAACCCTTGCAGATATTTTTATTCATGAAGAGATCCCCATTTTAGTACTGTACTCGTTGGTGTTAGTTGCTATGGAGTCCATTCTGATTCATGGGGAAGCCATGTGTGTGGAACTGAGTTGCTCCATAGGATTTTCAAGGCTGTGATTTTTTGGAAGCAGATCACCAGGCCCATCTTCTAAGGCACTTCTGGGTGGGTTCGAACCACAAACTTTTCAAGTGCTTAACCATTTGTGCCACCCAAGGACTCCATGAAATTATCATCTAGTTTATTGGGGGCACATTCCATCTTACCTTCTAAACATTTTAAGTACCAGTATCTTTTCTCAACCTTCTCCTTTGGCATTTCTCTCTTAACCTCAACCTTTGACACTGAAAAAATACTGGGAATTTTAGTCTAATCTTTGACAATGTACTTATCTCTGAAGTAAGGCAAATCATAAAACATGCCTACCCAACAGGAACATTCTCAAGAAAGTGATAAAACATTATGTAATGGAAGATTTAACTTTCAAGAATACTTTGGCAAATTGTAAGGCACTGATAGACAAATTCTGCCAGGTACGCGTTGTTCTTTTTTACATCCTTCTCTGATTACCCACAATAATTCTTGTTCTGACATCAACAAGCATAACGCAGTCTGAGATGTGGGTTGGTTTCCCTTACTGACTGGAGACTTTCAATTCATACAGTAAGCTCTTTCGTCTATCTGGCACAGCTGAGGAGTGGAAAATTCTGCTTACTTCAATGTTCTGGTTACCAAAGATAGGCTAACAGATAGAATGTCTTGGGCTGAAAGAGGACCAGAGATGATCTCAGCCATTGACTTTTAGATGCTGAAATTGAAACCTTTGAAGGCTTAGAAATTAAGATCTATGTCTCTATCTTCTACATTCAGTATCTCTTACATAACACCAACTGCCTCTCCTAGTAAACTGATTGCCAGTTTTCAAAGAAACAGAACTACATGACAATATACAACATGAATATATCATTGGCTAACAGCAACAATGCTCCTAAGGATTCAAAGAGCACTTTAGGCTCCTACATTGCCAAAGGGTCATTATTAATATCCATCTGTGATTCTAAGTATTTTCTGGTTCCGTCAGGACCTGACGGGTTTAAGTTTTCCTTCACAGATAGCCCTCATATAGGCATGCTCACGTACAGCCACCACTTGTTCACCAGTGTTGCTATGATGCCAAACAGGTTTCAGTGGGGTGACATAGTGCCTAAAGCATTTGACTGCTGACCCAAAGGCTGGTGGTTCAAACCCACCAGCCACTCCTCAGAAGGAAGATCGGGCAATCTATCTCTGCAGTGATAGTGCCTCGGAAACCAAGGAGGGGTCGCTATGAGTCAGATCTGACTTGACAGCAGTGAGTCCAGGTTAAGACAGACTAGGAAGAAAGGCCTGGTGATCTACTTCCAAATATCAGCCAATAAAGCCCCTACGGAGCACAGTGGTCCTTGAGCTTTCCATGTGTTCCCATCAGTCAGGCCGACTTAATGGTAGCTAATAACACCAACAACCATGCTCAGTTCTGTGCATGTCAATGACTCAGTGTCCCAGTGCAGAGATGGGGACTATTTTGGTGAAACTTTGGGAAGGGAGAGTGATTAGCATTTGTTACCCTGAGTCACAACATACAAAGTGAATGGCTGATTGTAGCCCTGCTGATAGGAGAGTAGCTGCTCTTATACCAAGCCCTTTTCCATTCCCACAGCTCTTGTCACCCTGGCTTCCCAAAGTGGTGTCACTGCTTCATCAAGTCAGTCTGAAACAGGCAAAGCAAGCCAGAGGCAAACTCGATTGCCACACATTAGTAAATGTGCTCCCCAAACCTTTCTCAAACACAAATAAATGAGTCAGAATTCAGGTGAAAGGAATAGCTTCATTCCTTGTCCCATCCTTGTCCACCCTCATTATATAATGGTCCCAAGTGATCTGATGGCTTCGTGGATCTCACAGACCCAGCTAGGGCACTCCTTAAGAGTTCAAGCCTTTCTCTTCTCAACTGAGGGAAATTGTGCTCTTGAGGCTCTTGAAGATGGACATAGAGCCCCCTGGTTTCATGGGTGGGTGGCAGTAAAGGAAATCTACCAACTTCTATGGCTATAACTTGTTCACCATTAAAAGAATCAAAGGGTAGTATGAATTGCTTAAGAAGCACATGAGCACAATTTGTGTGTGTGTGTGTGTGTGTGTGTGTCCCCACATGCACATTGGGAGTAATATAGGGAATTAGACCTGAAAGCATCAGAGAATGAGAAAGTAGGAACAGGGAATCAATTTATCTGTAAATAATTTGGTCCAGGGATGACCCAGATTTTGGGTTTCAGGGGAAATTATTAGATGTATTTTCTAGGTTGTCCCCAAGTTCAGTGAAAATATCTGAGCTTGTCACTATGAGTGACTGTGGGTCGCTGTGAGTCGGATCCAACTCGACGGCAGTGAGTTTGGTG